ATACAAGAACTCGTGGGCACTCCATGAAACTGCAGAGCGGTCGGGTTAGAACGGATAAAAGGAAGTACTTCTTCACCCAAAGAGTGATTAACACATGGAATTCACTGCCACAGGAAGTGGTGGCGGCTACAAGCATGGACGGCTTCAAAAGGGAATTAGATAAGCATATGGAGCAGAGGTCCATCAGTGGCTATTAGCCACAAGGTATAGATAGGGACTCTGGGGCAAGTGATGCTCTGTCTTCTTGGTGCTTGGGGGGGGGTCAACAGTGGGAGGGCTTCTAATGTCCCGGCCCCACTGGTGGACCTCCTGATGGCACCTGGTATTTTTGGCCACTGTGTGACAGAGTGTTGAACTGGATGGGCCTTTGGCCTGATTCAACACTGGTGTCTCTTATGTTCTTACATGCTATCAGAAAGTATTTTAAAGAGCACAGAAGTTACAATGGTCATTTAAAACGTCACCTTAAAAAGCACCAATCATTATTCTACAAGTTAAAACATTGCCTAAAACAGGCATGTCGAACTCATTTGTTAAGAGGGCCGGATCTGACATAAATGAGACCTTATTGGGCCGGGCTATGTGTGTCATAAAATGTAATGCCAGGCAGTGGAGATATTATAAACACATATAGACACAAAAACAAAGGTTTGGGATTTTTTACATAAAATAAAAACATACTTAAAACATTAGCACTCTTTAACAGTGTCTGATAACTGACACCTCTTGCTCTGAATTACTGCATCAAAATGTCTGTGCTGTTGCAGTCTTGAGTATGCTGTTCACGTGTGTATCTGTAAGCTGCCAACCTATAATGACGCAGCAGCAGCAGAACTGGAAAAAGAAGCAGAAGACAGCGAGTTCCTGACAGCCTGATCTGGCCCCCGGGCAACATGTTTGACCACCCCTGGCCTAAGATTTTTTGGCATTCCTTCCCCACCCAACACTTTAAATTATTTCCCAGTCTTCAGGGGAAAAATGTCCCCTCCCCAGTCCATCTTTACTGGATGTTTCCCATGGGAGAGAGCTATCTTTTTTCAGTGCCAATTTTGAGTGGTTCAAGCTCCCTACCAGATTTTACCTGTGGGATGAAATTAACAAAGTAAAGTATTGATGAACTTCACCAAACAAAATTAAGTATTAATAAGCCTACTGACAACTGGATTTTAAAAAGTGCAATGCTGTTTAGGATTGCACTGTAAATCACTAACCTGGTTTAAAAATGCAGGTTTAAAAGATCATGAACTTCCTCACTCTATGAATAGGCCTAAAATTCCACTTTTGTAAAATCAGGTATTGACAGAGCAACTGCAAAGAACATGAAACACTGCTAATAGCATCACTTAATTGTAACAGATGCCACACAGTTCAAATTAATCATGTGTAAGCATGTCCTATTACTATATAAGCACTAAGGAAGATTTGAAGTTCAATTGTCTGGTACTCCCTGGTCCAAAAGATGCCAGGCTGGCCACGACCAGGGCCAGGGCCTTTTCAGTGGCGGCTCTGTGCTGGTGGAACAAGCTCCCAGAAGACATCAGGGCCCTACAGGACTGTTTGCAGTTCCACAGGGCCATGCAAGATGGAGCTCTTCCACCAAGGAGCCGCACCTAATAACTGAATATTGGCAAAGACCCTGTGCCCCGGAAACACCATCGGCAGCCTGTGCCCTGCCGGCATAAATGGACTGAGATAATAGCTTTAACATAAATGCAGACTGTATTCCCATTATGACTGATCTGCTACCATGTTCCGCCATTGCTATGCAATATTGATACTGTTACTAGCACTTTATAAATTGTTTTACAAATTTACTGTTTTATGTGTCTTAACTTTTTATGTGAGCCACCCTGAGCCTGCTTCAGCAGGGAGGATGGGGTATAAATAGAATAAATAAATAAAACTTGAAAACTCATAGAAGCCCATCATTTTTTCTTCTGGTTATGTCACAAATGATCTTGCAAGAAACGTCTTGAAACTTCAAAGTCTCCTTGAATTTCATTAAAACTCACACAGAAATTTTTCTCCTGCTTTACTTTTCAAAGGTTAATATTTTCCCTGCTGGTTATTTAACATATACACAATGTGTAGATCTAACAGTAAATTATGGACTATTGCTATGAACAGGCAAGCCTTGGGGAATCTTCAGGTTCATGCACTCTACCCCACAGCCTGTAGACAGCCAGATAATTAGATATTTCCAGGTTTTGTCTGCATCAAGCCTATGTGTGTACTTACAGTTCGGCTTTTCCTTTCACCCATTTCAGATATTCTGCTCTATTTACAAAGCCTACATAGACAATCAGCCAAAAGGATTATTCATCACAAATTGGAAGTCTTGGGGAGGAGGAAGTAGCGTCCCGTTTCTGTTTCAAATCATTTGTGCTTATTTTTCAGGAGTCGGTTAACTTTTTGAATCATTATTATTAATGATATGTCTATATACCACTTATGCATACAAATCCTTCAACTTAAAAAAGGGGCTGTGACAATCTGGACCTGTGTTGATAACATAACTATAGTCAATACGACATATAAAAGAGACAATTGCTTTACTGCCATTTAGTTTAAACATATTCCACCACAGGCTTTTAAATCTTGTTGTGACCAATGTTCTCTCTAAACTGTGGAGTCTTGTGAACAAAAATTCTACTTTGTGAGCTACTGGCATTAAATTTGTGAGCGAGTGATTTGGCTGCTGCATAAATTAGTTTGTTCTAGAGCCCTCCTTTCTGAGCTGAGACAAAAATGTGTGAGCCGGAGGCTAAAAAACTATGAGCTAGCTCACACTAACTCAGCTTAAAGGGAACACTGGTTGTGACCCCCCAAAAAAACACATTCCAGTCACAGATTTGTGAGCTGCTATAAGATTTTAATCAAATATTAATACCGAAGAAATTCTCTGAAAACAAATCACAGCAACAGATTAATGTAATACATATCCCACATCACAAGACTAAAACTAGCAATGACAGAGGGATTCATTTTCCTATAGATGTCCACTCATTCACATATACGTAAGAGAGTGGTTTTTTTAATTTTTAAAAATGAAAAACAGACTGTGAGTGAACTGAAACCCTACCCACCATTTCACCTAGATGTGCTCTAGTGCTTCCAGCAGTTATCTTCTAGTTCAGCTCACTTCTGGTGTCACCCAATGCTCTGTTTTTGTTTTTAAAAAGTAGAACTGCCACCCACACTCTGCTTCAGATCAGAATAGGTGGACAAGTGTACAAATACGCAAGGATCCACTCCCCCAAGATCATGTCTATTTTTGGCCACTTCATTTAACATACACAACTACCGTGTTTTCCCAAAAATAAGACACTGTCTTATATTTATTTTTTTCTCAAGAAGACACACTAGGGCTTATACCACAAATGCATACAAATCCTGCTAGGGCTTATTTTCTGGGTAGGTCTTATTTTTTGGGGAAACAGGGTAAACAGAACAGAGACTGCTGCACATGGAATCCGAGGATCAACTCAGCTGGGACTTCTCTCTTTCTCTAAAGGTAACAATATTATCAACTATTTACATAGGACAATGTTAGCAAAGGAATTATTTGCAGGACACTTGCACAATATAAACATAATATTCATACGCAACAAATGTCATTACTACTGTTTTCCTAGAGCATTTACACAGTCGTAACTGAACTCTATATTGACCATACTTTTTGTTCACGTGTGCCATCCATGCAATTCTCTACAAAATATATTCAATTTAATCATTTACACGGAACTATTCCAAATTAATTCTGAATAATCTAACAATGCAGATATCCAAGCATACAAACAGAACAAGGAAAAATATTAGGCAATAACCAAGAGAATTAAGTACTGTAAGCATGTAACTTAGTTTTATAAACACTTGAACGTGTTATCTTTCCAGGAAAATTACTAAAAGGAATGAACCAATACAAAGTATAGAGTACAAGTTTTTGGCCAAGTCAAAAGATTTTGTTCTGTTCAAATAAATGAAAATCACTGGCATAATCTACAGAGAAATGCTACAGTGAAATAAATAAAATAAAAGACATTTAAAAAACATAAACTTCCCCACCCCCACACCTTGTGGAAAGAAAACTTCCCCTTATTCAAACGTCCAGAAATAAGCAAGTCCAGGAAAAGGAACAGAAAAGTAAAATCATGTCACCATCCATGTGCCCTTCCTAGAAAAGCAATGATAATAGAATGCAGTGTATGGGCAGGAACAATAACAAATGTCCTTCTCCAAAAACCAGAAATCAGATTCAGAATGCAAACGACGGTTTGTCCAATCTCTCCATGGTGGCCAAGCCAAAAGAGAGTATTAAAAAACAACCCTCACACTTTCACCAACCCATTAAGTCCTGCCACAGTGTCTTGTGTGTGTGTGCCTTGTGTAAAGTGTCCCTTGTGTAAAGTGTCCTCAAATTGTAGTTGAGTTATGACGATCCCGTAGGATTTTCAAGACAAGAGACGTTTAGAGTTGGTTTGCCATTGCCTTCCTCTACTCATCTCACTTCCTCAGAGCCGCTAACAGGGCAATCCTGTGTATGTTTACTCGACAGTAAGTCACACTAGGTTCGGTGAGACTTACAGCCTAAAGAATACAAACTGAAAGGAGGGGCCGATCACTCTCAATGGGCACTTCATTTTTTCCCCATTCCAAGCACTTCTGTTCCACAAACAACAACCTCCCCGCCCCCTTGTAAACGGGGCTGGTTAAGAAGTGAGTGAACGACAAAGGACCACCAATTCCCGTTCCAAAATTTATCCGATTAGTAGGAAACGTCCATACATCACACTGCCACTTATTCAAATTTAAGGTACATTCCACAAATAACTCCGATGGAAACTGTTTCACAGGACTTGGGGAGGAGGGAACGAAAGTTCAACTGGCGTTTCTGGCCTCTGCAGAGAAGGCAGAGGTGGTCCTTCTTGGAGAAGCTCTGCCTCGGGGGCCAACCGGCGTCGCGCGCACACGCACCCCTCCCTTCGCCGCTCCTTACTTACTTTTTGGTGTCGCTGCTGAAAAGACCGAAGGCCGCCGGCATGGAGGGGGCTGTGGTGGGCGCCGCCTCCTGACCCACCTCGGGCTGAGCGTCCCCGACCTGCTCGTTGTAACCGACGTTGTTGGTTGACATGTCGCTACTTTCACGTTCCCCGTCGCCGCCGTTTGCCTGAAGCGTGACTCGCCCGCCCTCCCGCGGTTCTCTCACAATCCGGCTCGTTCCCGGAAGAAGGCGCCTAACGGCAAACGACGGCGAGAAGACTCGTCACGTGACAGGTGGCTGAAAGGGGCGGGGCAGAGCCCGCCCCAAACCAACTTTCTGCGGCTGGCGTTCCAGCGCCGCCGTTGCTAGGGGAACTCCAGGACTCTTCCCCGCCCCCCCGCCCCGCCCTGACCTGACCAAATATCTGGGCCCGAAGTCACGAGGACGCCTCCCAGTCACGAGCGTACGGAACTCCGGTTGAGTGAGGCCGTGTCACCCGCAGAGTCCGGTGTGGAGGCGGCAACGCCACATAGGCACCGCCGATGGGCGCCACGTATACAAAGCCAAACCCCTTCCAGTCTGATCTCGGATACATGCATAAAAGTACATTTTTATCATCCCGCTCCTCCAAAAAAACTATCCGTACCAAGAAATAAATCCTGAAATGATGCCATCGTGCGTGCTCTCGAGGCCTTCCATTGCGCTCTATGGGACAAGAATCAGTGGGCCATAAACTTTTAAAGGGAGTGGGCTCTTCTCTTCTTGATGACCACATCAAGCCAAGTTCAGATCTCGTCTCCTTGTTGTCCCCCCATAGAAGTGAATGGCTCTCAGTTCAGTTCTAAAAAAGTAAAGTGCTGCACTTGGGGACAACGTGGCCCTGGCAGGGAAGCCCAGGTACCATCGGAGGCTTCTTCTGATTTGAACCCTGCTGGTGCCTGGAAAAGGCAGGGTTGTTGCTAGCAAACCAGCTTTTTCAGGGAATAGCTTTGACCTATCACTACAGTATAGAGGGGGGGGGGCAGAAGGGATCCTCGCCTAGGGTGCAAAATAAGCTGGGGCCGGCCCTGACAGTATAGCATCTTATATTCTAACAGCGAAGTCAGCCAAATGTCAGAGGGCCCCAGGTTTGCAGGAAAATGTGAAATAAAAAAACGGGTGGTTTTTTTTTAAGAACTCAAAGATAATAAAAGGAGCTCCTGCAGCTTTAAAAAATGGATTCCCTCAGTGGCTGTTGCTAAGCAACCACAGATTCCAGGCTTCAGTTTCTCTGAGTAAATGTGGGGTAGGGCCCTTTTGAGGCCTATTTTGGCCTTTGAAGAAGGAGTCATTGGGGCCAGGTAGGGTTGCCAGGTCCTACCTAGCATCTGGGGGGGGGGGCACTCCCAGGTCCTTCCTGGGATTTTCTGCTGTGTGCATAAAGCAGGTGGAATGTGATGACATCACCTGGAAGTGATGTCCCTGTGTTGCCAATGTTGAGGGTGATGCTCTAGTTTTTGGGCAAAACTCTATATGGTTTTTTGCCTTCAAAATGACAGTTTGCTCAAAAACTAGAGCATCCCCTGATGGTGGTGGCACAATTATGCCACTTCTGGGTAACGTCATCGCGTTGGGGACATTGCCCAGCAACATCCCAGTTTTGGTGTGGGCCTTCCCCCACTGGCCAGTGGTGGATTGAAGCCCTGAAAAGTGGAGGAACCCCCACTGGGACCTGGGAACCCTAGGGCCAGGCCCGGCTAGAATTACCAGTTCCAGCTTGGGAAATTCCTGGAGATTTTGTGGTGAAGTCTGAGGAGTGCAGCATCTGGGGAGGGACGATGTTTCAGCATGCTATAATGCCACAGAGTCCAGCCTCCAAAGAAGCCATTTCCTTGAAGGGGACAGATCTTTATCATCCAGAGTTCAATTGTCATTCTGGGGGATCTCCAGGCCCACTTGGAGGCTTGAACTCTAAGCCTGGCAGCAAACACTGGGCGAGTTGATACCATCTGTAATCACCTTGTGAAAGCCAGTGTGGTGTAGTGGTTAGAGCTTCAGAGTAGGGTCTGCAAGACCAAAGTTCAGATCCCCATCTTGCTGTGGAAGCTGACTGGTAGATTTTGGTCCAGTCACATACTTTCAACCTAACCTACCCCACAGGATTGTTATGCAGATAAAAAGGAGGACAGAATAATGTCAGCTGCTTTGGTCCCCACTGTGGAGAAATACAGTAGTTTTCCTACAGAGGGCTGCTGGGAGGAGGAAAGCTGGAGACAGAGGAGCAGGCAAAGGCAGGTTGGCTTTTGGATGGGAAGGAGATAGGGTTGCCAACTCCAGGTTGTGAAATTCCTGGAGATATGAGGGGTGGAATATTAATAGTGATTGTGATGGGAGTGGGGGCAGAAAGAAAGAGTGATGGAGACAGAAGAAGAGAGGAAGTGTTGGGGAGGCAGAAAAAGAAGAAGTAATGGGTTGGGGCAGAAAAAGAGAGGACGTGACAGGCGTGGAGGAGAGAGAAAGAAAAGGTGTGGCAGGAGGGAGAAAAAGTATGAGAGAAGTAGGGGAAGAGGGGAGGATGCAAAGGTGGGGAGAATGGGATAGCTGCTCCCATAAGTTTCTTGTGGGTCCCTACTTGTAATTACTGTTTTTTTGTTTTTTTAAGGTTAGGGGGTAGCTGCAGGGGGCAGAGGCAATTAAAGTGCAGTAAAAGCCACTATGTGGATGCTCCATTGTTGCTGCAAATGTCTCTGTATTTGCTGCTTCAATGAGAGCCACAAGGACCAACTCTTGCTGCCGTGGATGGAGACTCTTCATTGGCGGAGGAGCTTAATCTCTTCTTTGCCCGTTTTGATGTGGAGCTGAAGGCGACAGCCATATTACAGCCATCTGTCCATGGCGGCCCCTCCCTCAGGGTAGAAGAGCATGAGGTGAGGCGAACGCTGAGGGCTGTGAATCCGAGGAAAGCGGCTGGTGTTGCCAATGTTGAGGGTGATGCTCTAGTTTTTGGGCAAAACTCTATATGGTTTTTTGCCTTCAAAATGACAGTTTGCTCAAAAACTAGAGCATCCCCTGATGGTGGTGGCACAATTATGCCACTTCTGGGTAACGTCATCGCGTTGGGGACATTGCCCAGCAACATCCCAGTTTTGGTGTGGGCCTTCCCCCACTGGCCAGTGGTGGATTGAAGCCCTGAAAAGTGGAGGAACCCCGGGTGGTTTTTTTTTAAGAACTCAAAGATAATAAAAGGAGCTCCTGCAGCTTTAAAAAATGGATTCCCTCAGTGGCAATTACTGTTTTTTTGTTTTTTTAAGGTTAGGGGGTAGCTGCAGGGGGCAGAGGCAATTAAAGTGCAGTAAAAGCCACTATGTGGATGCTCCATTGTTGCTGCAAATGTCTCTGTATTTGCTGCTTCAATGAGAGCCACAAGGACCAACTCTTGCTGCCGTGGATGGAGACTCCCAGGCTTCAGTTTCTCTGAGTAAATGTGGGGTAGGGCCCTTTTGAGGCCTATTTTGGCCTTTGAAGAAGGAGTCATTGGGGCCAGGTAGGGTTGCCAGGTCCCACCTAGCATCTGGGGGGGGGGCACTCCCAGGTCCTTCCTGGGATTTTCTGCTGTGTGCATAAAGCAGGTGGAATGTGATGACATCACCTGGAAGTGATGTCCCTGTGTTGCCAATGTTGAGGGTGATGCTCTAGTTTTTGGGCAAAACTCTATATGGTTTTTTGCCTTCAAAATGACAGTTTGCTCAAAAACTAGAGCATCCCCTGATGGTGGTGGCACAATTATGCCACTTCTGGGTAACGTCATCGCGTTGGGGACATTGCCCAGCAACATCCCAGTTTTGGTGTGGGCCTTCCCCCACTGGCCAGTGGTGGATTGAAGCCCTGAAAAGTGGAGGAACCCCCACTGGGACCTGGGAACCCTAGGGCCAGGCCCGGCTAGAATTACCAGTTCCAGCTTGGGAAATTCCTGGAGATTTTGTGGTGAAGTCTGAGGAGTGCAGCATCTGGGGAGGGACGATGTTTCAGCATGCTATAATGCCACAGAGTCCAGCCTCCAAAGAAGCCATTTCCTTGAAGGGGACAGATCTTTATCATCCAGAGTTCAATTGTCATTCTGGGGGATCTCCAGGCCCACTTGGAGGCTTGAACTCTAAGCCTGGCAGCAAACACTGGGCGAGTTGATACCATCTGTAATCACCTTGTGAAAGCCAGTGTGGTGTAGTGGTTAGAGCTTCAGAGTAGGGTCTGCAAGACCAAAGTTCAGATCCCCATCTTGCTGTGGAAGCTGACTGGTAGATTTTGGTCCAGTCACATACTTTCAACCTAACCTACCCCACAGGATTCTTATGCAGATAAAAAGGAGGACAGAATAATGTCAGCTGCTTTGGTCCCCACTGTGGAGAAATACAGTAGTTTTCCTACAGAGGGCTGCTGGGAGGAGGAAAGCTGGAGACAGAGGAGCAGGCAAAGGCAGGTTGGCTTTTGGATGGGAAGGAGATAGGGTTGCCAACTCCAGGTTGTGAAATTCCTGGAGATATGAGGGGTGGAATATTAATAGTGATTGTGATGGGAGTGGGGGCAGAAGACGCCCCAGAGGGTTAATACCGGTTCTCCACAAGGCTGTGTGTTGAGCCCCTTGCTCTACACCCTCTATACGCAGGACTGTACCTCCACCCACCCCAGTAACACCATCATGTTGTGGGGCTCATCTCTGGGAATGATGAGTCTGCTTACCGGGATGAGGTGGAACGGCTTTGTGTGTGGTGTACGGAAAATAATCTGTTCCTCAACACCACCAAGACCAAGGAATTGGTAGTGCACTATAGGAGGAATAAAACAGACATCCAGCCACTGGTTATTGGTGGAGAACGAGTGGAGAGGGTGGCTACTTTTAAGTTTTTGGGAGTGATTGAGCAAAATTTGACCTGGAGTGCTAACACCATTGCTCTGGTGAAGAAGCCCCATCAGAGGCTCTTTTTTCTCAGACTTTTAAATAAAAATAACTTGAGTGAGAAAACATTGATGTCCTTCTATCGCTGCTCAATAGAGAGCATTTTAACATATTATGTTTGTGCCTGGTTTGCCAGTTGTACAGCTGTGGAGAGGAAAGCACTCCAGAGAGTTGTTATTGGAGCCCAGAAGATCATTGGCTGCCCTCTCCCATTCCTGGAGGAATTGTATAGTTCTCGATGTTTGAGAAAAGCAAAGAACATTTTGCAGGATTTGCCACATCCTGAACATTCCCTGTTTGAACTGCTCCCTTCGGGCAGAAGATA